CCATAAAAGAAGCAGGCATAAAAGAACACTCCTCTCTTCCCCACTATGGAGAATAATTAAACTGGGAAGTTATTTGCCTTGGGAGTCTGTGGACACCAGCATGAAGATGGGTTCAAAGCCTGGTTAGACAAGGTTACCAGGGGCTGATAGCTTCAAAATTTTGCAGGGAGAATGGTGTGTGGTTTAGCAGGTCTGGTTTAGCAGGTGCATGTGCTTAGCTGACTGTTACCATGTCCCGCTCCTTCAAATTAATGTTGTATTTTCTGCAGCTGCTTAGAGTGCCAGATGCCTATTGTATTTGCTATCCATAAGAGCTTATCAATGGATAGATTATTTGCATTTTTGCAATGGTAAACCACTGAATCAGAGGTTTACTCAAAGCTAAAGCATGTACCGGTTTATGCATCAATTAAAGAGCAACTGCATAAAATCAGCTTGGTTTTCTACCATAAACAAAATATGCAACATTGAAGAAATACTTGGATTAAACGTAAAGCTGGCTTTTTATTGCTAGAGGCCCCCGATTACATTTATTTCAGCTTTTCTGATTATTTTTTTCCTGTTGGTGAATAGAAAAGAAACCCCTTGGAATGGTAAAGCCATAAGAGTTATGCATGAAACTCTTATCTGGTGAAAGAATGACAGAATAAAAACCTTAAAAAGTGCTTTTGCTGCAGAGCAGCCCTGACTTCAATTATAGCAGATAATATCTGGAATCAATAATAGCTCCTGGTCATTTGTCAGGAGGAGAGGAGCAACAATGTCCACCTCATTAGTTCTTGTCTGCACACTTCCACCTAGTCCAGGCATAAAATTTTTAAGAATATAACTAGCTTGTTCTCTGTTGAAACCATAGAGTGTTCCCATCATCCAAAGTAATTATTTACCAGTGTATTTTTATATGGCCAAGTAATTATAAAAACTGTCCAAGTTTTCCAGGCTGTTACTCCTCTTTTTTCTTCTCCTCCTCTCTTCTTCAATTATGTGAAACCTGAACTTGATATTGTACTACAAATGCTTATCTCCAGGGTAGTGGTAGTTTCTGCCTCTACAGCTGTTGATTCCTTTATGTCCTTGTGTCCAGCTTTTTATCAGTTTAGTTGCTTCTTGGTGATGGAATTGATTTAAATGCACATCAAGCAGTCATCGTGAGAACTATATTGCTTTGCACCCTTTGTCAGGGGGATATTTCGTTTTGGAAAATAAAGAGCCTCATGTTTGAGTCTCAAATGCTTCTTTGTAACACTTGCATGTTAGATTTTAAAGATATTTTACTAATTGCAAGTAATGCATATTTTTTCATAATAATATTAAGTTCTTTAGAAAAGCAAAAGGTGAAAAAATGAACATGGTGTGTATTTATTTGGTGTGTGCAACTATTGTGTGTATGTATATATGTAAGTAGATATATGTGTTTATATATATGCAGTCAGTTCTGTGGGTGTCATGTATAGCGACTTCTTCAGTTTGGTCAAGGACACCTTAAGCCACAGCTGCTGCCGAGTGACTGACTGTATACTGGCTGTCAGCGTGAGGAAGAGCCTCGTGGACGTGGGTCGTGTTGCAGAGCTGTGTGGCCGTGGGAGGAGAAGGAAGGCAGTTCCATTCACCAGATCCGTATTGCAGCTTGGTTGCGACTCCTCTGTCCCCACTGAATCACTGACCTCCAAGGTCTTCCCCGTTAGAACTGAAGTGGCTCCTTCTGAAACTTCGTTATCATCTTCCCTATAGTCTACTTAAATACATACATATGAACCACAGAGAGGGAACAAAAGTATAGCCCCCTTAAATCTTGGTCCGAATTCTGTAACATGACTTGAGGGATTTAGTAGAAAATTACCAATATAAACAATTTTGTAGTAAGTTGGTTTTCCTGTGCGTAGTCACTCATCTGTAGATTCCTGTGCCTTGCTCTCAATTCTCTGCTGCTTCCTGGTGCACTTCTCATCTGAGAGGCTTTGCTGAAGAACGGGGTCTGCATGTCCTGAATCCAATCAAGGAACGAGGCCTCTCTGCAGGGCAGGCCAGCAGTATGGGAGCACAGTCAAGGAATGTGCCACCTTCGTGGTGTCCTCAATTCTCCTTCCCTTGGACTCTGCAGGTTTTCCTTTTAGAAGATATTTCAAGATTTTTTTTGTTCCCTACATGTGATCTAAAATGGGTTCTAGCTCTTTTCTACTGTGTCCAAATTCTTTTTTTTTCTGTCCTAAAATGTTTTTAATGCTGAAGCTTCCCACTGAAAGAAAAAAATCTTTCTAACAAGTCTAATAACACAGTAATAGAGATTGAATGTCACAGCAAAGTCAGATCATAACAGTATGACAGGATATATTGTCTCATAAGGAAAAAAATGTTCCCTGTTTTTATTGCATGGGGTTTAAAAATAAAACTTCTCACAAATGTTACAAAGGCTTGGTTTCATTTTGTGTGCTAGTGCTACTCTTTACATTTTGTTGATTGTAAAGCGATGGGTGCTAATTTGGCAGGTTTCAGGATGTGCTGTTCTTGCAGGCAAGCAAGGTGATGTGAACAACACCTGCTATTGCAGTGCTGTTAATATAATTTGAAGATCAATACAATCTGTATTTGAATTTTCCTCGTGTTCAGGCAGAACTTCCTGTGCTTCAGTCTGTGACTGTTGCCTCTTGTCCTGTCACTGGCCACCACTGAAGAGTGTGGCCCGCTTCTCCTGCTGCCTTCCTGTAAGGCCCTTACCCACACTGATCAGATCCCCTCTCAGCCGTCTCTTCTCCAGGCTGAACAGGCCCAGCTCTCTCCGCCTCTCCTCATAGCGTAGATGCCCCATCCCCTCATCATCTTCATAGCTCTACCCTGGACACTCTCCAGTGGCTCCGTGGCCCTCTGGTACTGGGGAACCCATAACTGGACACCGCACTCCAGATATGGCCTCACCAGGGCTGATTAGAGGGGGAGGATCATCTCCCTAGACCTGCTGACAACACTCTTCCTAATGCATCCATAAATTGGCCTTCTTGGCCACAGAGCGTGTTGCTGGCTCATGGTCGGTCTGTTGTCCGCCAGGCCTCCCAGGTGCTTCTCTGCAGAGAAGCTCTTCAGACACCAATACAGGCTGGGGCCTGACAAGCTAAAGAGCAGGGTTCTTCTTACCTTATCTTTCCAGCTTGGCCAGGTCCCTCTGAGTGGCAGCGCAGCCCTCCGGGGTGTCTGCCCTTCCTTCCAGTTCTTTATCATCAGCAAAATTGCTGAGGGGGCCTCTGTCTCTTCATCTAGGTCATTGCAAAATACTTATTTCTATGCAGCCGAAGCACAATTTTTAAAAATTGATGTTGGTTTTACAGCTGAGTTTGACCGTATTGATAGTATTAAAAAAAAAAAAAAACAAGAAAAACTGTCAAACTGCTTGAAAGAAGAGAATTTTTTTTTTTTTTTGAATAGTCTTCGTTTCCAGAGAAACCTAAGATCTGCACATTTGTGGTGGCTAATTTGTATCCTTGTCAGTATTTACCCTTCCTGCAGAAACACATTTCATACTACATTTCAAAGCCGGACTAAAAGGGAAGGCCATCGGGTGCCTTCCCTGGGCCGCTGCATGTGCAAGACTACCCCGAACTCTGGTTTAAACCATCTCCTCTTCCTCGGCTCGTGTGTGCTGGCACTTTCTGCTGCAGATTCACAGACTAATTTTAAATTTACCTGCCTGCTGAGGGCTGAGTCCACCCAGACAAGGGCAGGCAGGCGGGTGGCCCCTTCTGTTGTGACCGCAGGTAGTCAGGGCCTGCGCGGGGGACAGGCTGCAGGCAGGAGACCAGAGCTGCTGAGATGGAGGTTAACCTAGCAGCTGCAGCTCAAAGTATTTCAGTCCCCAGGGAAGTGTGATTGCTTTACAGGTACATCTGTGCCCATGTGGTTTCCTTTTTGCTTTTCAAGTAGGAAAATTTGTTCTCTTGTTGCTGAGTGAATTTTTTTTCTTCCCTGTGAGATTTCTGTTTTCTTTGCACATCTAGATTGGTTGGTGCTTGATAGGAGCAAGGCGATAGCTTGGCAGCTGGGCAATTTTTCTGTTTCGTGACCTGCTGACATTGGTACAACACAGTTTGCTTCTTCAGCTTCAAAGTTAAGCTCCAAAATAATATTACAGTGCAGAGAATCAGCTCGCTTTCACTTACTACCATGGTCTGCCCTGAATCAGGGAGTATTTTAATTCAGGATTTCAAATACAAGAGTTGAAGATTTGATTTATTTGAATTCATGCCCGTTTTATTTTCTCCTAATGCTTGCAGAAATAGGCATTTCGAGTGTTTTTTTTTTGAGTATTATGTTTAGTTTCTAAATTGGCTGGCTGTTCTTTTAACAGTAAGAATATAAGGCTTCAAACCTGAGGAGCGTTTGGATGCAGCCCGGTGGGTGTTTTGCTCGAGGCAGTTTTGCCTCAGGTGGGAAGGGCCTTTCTGCAGCTCTGGGCGTGCGCTGCCCTCCTCACCCGGCTTTTTGGGTCTGGGAGGTGCAGGGTCAGCACCAGGCGTGTTTTAGTGGCTCCCCCGGCAGTGCCCTTTGTTGTTTGCCAATTGCCAGCCATTCCCATCTGTTTGGGGTTAGATGGAGGTTTTTTGTGT